TACTGTATATATAATTATATATTAACTTAATTTATTGTAACTTTATTATAATTATATATATGCTTTCTTCTCCGTAGCGCCACGCTACGGAGAGTTTAGGCTAGTAAGTTGAGTTTATTATCACCTGTACAGTAGATAAATTAGGTACCGTAAGTCTAATACAGCACTAATTTTATACATTTCTTGTGAAAGAAACATTTCTTATTCAACGGCCATAAAAATTATTTATATTAATGATGTCTCCAGAGGTCAAGTTATTTTTTGCGAAAAATTCGTTATTAGATATCGCGGCCGCCGTTTCGTGCGCTGTTCCGCGACGAAAACAAGCTTGAGCAACGGCGTAGTCGAACGGTGCACACTCGGTAAGTAATCCTACAATTTTTTTGTTTATAGCATAGTTTATACAAATTATTTTCAAAAAATTATACGTGTTTTGGAAATGTTGAGTGGAATTAATCTAGAATCGGTTAATTTTATAGAAGAAAACCTTTCGAACAGCTTTAGTCCGTAAACTTCACACGTGTCGGGCTGCGATTGGCTCATGTATTTAATGATTCCTACAAAGTAAAATTCGATTAACGTGGAACGTATCTAAGCGCTATTGAGGGGTCTACTGTATTGTGTTCTAATCTTTTCTGCTTGGAATATGCATTCACTGGGACTTGAATATAAATAATAATTTTGAAAAATGGGTTTTTTCAGTGCATTTTCAAAAATTAAACGGGCGTTAAAGAGATCAGTGCTCGGATTTATTGTAATTGCAAAACACTGGTACAGTTGCTTTATATTTGGCTTATTCTCTAGCAAACTTCTCATAATCCAGAAAAGTCTCTCTACCTCAACTGATGTCACAGGAGCAAACCGCATCATGGAATAATTCAATGGAGAAAACTCAGTCAGCTTTTCTGCATCATCTATTGTTGATTCAGACTCTTGCAATACTTCATTAATTATGAATATTTCTTTGAATGAAGGGTTTTTTTCTAAAACAACGTTCAGTTTTCCACTGTATCTCGTACTTTTTGCACTGGATTAGATTGCAGGTTGCTCCGACATTTTTCAATGATAGAAATACACTCATGCAGTTGAAGTCCTTGCTTCTCCAGTTGCGTAATGCTGATCCTTAGAAATACCACAGATCTAAAGACCGTTAGTTCTCGGCAAACTGATGCATCTTGTAAAAGAGACACAGCACTCTCTATAGCCATGATCTTATCTTCTCAAGTATGCGATTGAAAGTTCTTCATCAATGGTCCATTTATTCTCCAATGTAAAAACAGAATTTCAACCAGGTTTCCCAGCGTGTGACAACTGGCTCAGGAGGAAGAGGGAGTCCAGTTGAATCTTTCCGTAATTTTCGTCTGTAAGGTGACTTTACTAAGCACCAGTTGAGTTATTGTAACATTGTTTACTTTTTCAAGTATTTCCATATTTAACAGTTTAGGCGCCTTGTATTTGTCTTCACGAAGAGCTCCAACTAAAACGGCAGTAACCATATTTTGTTGCTCATACTCAGTTATACTTGGTGGTTTCATCTACCAAAAAGTATAACTGTTCATTTTCAACTGTTATTATGGATGAGAGCCTGGAATAGCTTCCCAAATAATTATTGCAACTTCACTTGGGCAAGAGAGAGCCTCAAAATTCTTGGAATGCAAGTTAGAAAAAATAAATAAATAAAATTCCAATGGGACACATTCATCGATAAAGTAAGAAAAGTCTCATACAAATGAAATAACCAAAATCAAACTCTACTGGGTAAAGCGAAAATAGCCAACATCATTGTATAACCAAGTCAAAGTACGAGCCGATAAGAAGATCTACGCTTTTTAACAACCAAAAATTTCATATTGTGTGTTACTTTCAATTGGTTGGAAGAATGTATATATATTCTATTATTAGTGTAAATAAAATAATTTTAAAAAAAGAGGCAAGAGGTTAAGATGGAGGCCTACCGCTCTGCGGAATAGGGATTGAATGGGACGTACCGAAAAACTCTATGAATTTTTCGGCGGTGATCTGTCCTGGATAATATATAGAATCCCGTCCCTCACCACCAGGTTTTCCTATTTAGGCCTGGCCGAACGAGTAATTGGCTTACTAAAAAGGCTCTTTTTGTGCCCACAAGAGCGGAAAGAGTTAAAAAAAATTACTCTTTTACGTAAAGAACTACCAGGCAAATGGCGGAACAGACTTCCACTTTCTTTTCCAATATTTTAATTATATTTTACACTATCCACATTTTTTCAATGAAACTAAGAGGGCCTCTTTTTAACAGGTTAGGCCAGGTTCATAACGGTGCGGCCGTGTGACGAGAAACTGACCACCCCCGAAAATTTCTTAAAGATTTTTCGGGTCCCCCGTAGCGGTAAGCTGCCACTTTCACCTCACGGCCATCCATATATTCCATAGTTAATATTCTTTGTTATAATTACGTTTAAATATATATTTATTATTATTAATAAATTTAAAATAGTAATAAAATGTATTTTGAAATAGATTTCAAATCAATTTTAAATTTAGAATTTGTCATAGACATAGATCTTAAAATAATGGCAAGCGTCACGTGATACACATGTTGCACAGAAGTTTCATCTGGCAACACTAATGCCTAATAGTTTAGAAAGTTGACCCATATATCGATGCCTTCCAGTTCTTGACGGATGTGATGTTTACATTTTTTAAATCGGTGACTTCAATGCATTTAATAACGATAAAAGAAAAATGGGTGTTTTATATGTTTACTCTACAGTCAACAGTTCTGTAGATTCACCCAGTAGAAGTTCCTTGAATAATCATGTTCATGAGATTTTCAATGTTCAATCTGAATTGACATTAACTTCACACTGTAGTCATGGTTCATTAACTAATTCCTTTGGTTGGTTTGTACAGGCTGTTCTAGCTGGATTGGCATTTACATGCCTCATATGTAAGTTATACAATTATTAACTCTGTCTTTACTACACAGTCAACCCCCTATAACACTGTTTGATAATTCCGTTTTATATGAATTCCGTGTTGTATGAATCACTTAGATTTTACAAATACGTGTGCCGGGCTGTGAACGTCTCACGTATTTGTAAAATCTAAATGACTCCTATAACATGGAATTCATATAAAATGGAATTATCAACAGTGTTATAGGGGGGTCGACTTGTATTTAATTAATTGGTTAAAGTCCAGTTATGTGGACTGTCATGGTGGCTCATCTCTGATTCTGGCAAACAGTGGGGACGCACGTTCTAACCTAACCTAACCTATTCTAATAATTTGATTGGTAATAATTATGGTAATTTATTAGAATAGGTTAGGTTAGGTTAGAACGTGCGTCCCCACTGTTTCCTTTCTTCTGTTTGCTGGAATCAGAGATGAGTCGCCATGACGGTATACGTATCTGGACTTTAA